TCGGGGCCACTCGGCCTGCGCTTCGGAGCGGGCCGCCCTTTCTCGACGCGGTCACCGAGGGCGCAGGGGTGCGGGTCTGCCCAGGCGCCGGGAGGTTCAGACCCGCCGGGTCGGACGCTGCTTCCGGTCTCACCGGCGCGGGGCGTGTGGGTGCTCGGCTGCCCCTCACCCGCCGGCGGGGTTCAGCCCTCCAGACGGGGGTGCCCCCCCCACTGTCACTGCTTCCGGCTGTCAGCACTCGCCGTCCGAGGGACCCGTAAGGCCCAGGGACCCGCATGGCGGTGCCACCCGCGGAGCCGGGCCACTCCGAGCCTGTTTCCCCACCTGTCAGATGGGTGGGCGTGCAGGAAACAGACCTGCCCCGCTGGGCGCTGGCAGTGCGGGTCCGAGCGGATGCTTGTTGTTTGGAGCGAAAGTGGAGGAGGTACCATCGGGGGGTGGCCACTCACCGGGCTTCAGGGACAAACAACCCTTAAAGGGACAGTGACCTGCTCTGCTCCTGGCACGCCTCCTTCCAGGTGTGAGCAGATGGGATGGATGGGGAGCCTGCCTCTCCGGGAGGAATGCTGGGGACCTGGGGGGGGGGGGGTCGGGTGATGAGGGCCTGGCGTTCCAGCCACAGGCAGGACATGTCCAGTCCCGGTGAGGGCGTCTGAGTCTCAGCCTAGGGCCCCCCAGCACCCGGAGCCCTGGGCTGTCTCCCTCGGGTTTCCTTTCACTGCTGGTCAGGGAGCCCTCTGCCCCCACGGGAGGGGCGCTCTCCGGAGGGGCAGGCTCTGGGTGGCCGGTTTTCTTTATTCTTCCCAGTCTCTGCCTTCCGGACTGTTCCTCTGGGACAACTCAGGCCTGAACTCTGTGGGTGACCCTGGTGGGCAGTGGGGGTAGCTGGTGTGCCTGGGCCCCTGTGTGGGAACATCATCCGTCCACCCCTGGCCGCCCAGAGGAAAACATGATTCTCCAAGTTGTCAGGAGGGCAATGGAGGCTGAGAGGTGAGGTCACTCCGCTCATGTATTTATCCAGGCCTCTGTGCCAGGCCTGGGGCTGGCACCGCCCGCGGAGGTGAGTGAGAGAGCTTTTTGCAGGGGAGCTGGCAGCCGGTGAGAGCTGCTGGGCAGAGCTGAGTCGTTCCTGCCTCTGATTCCTCTCGCCATAGATTTTTACATATGTTTTTGTTGTTGTTGTTTTTAGAGAGAGAGGAAGGGAGCGATAGGGAGAGAAAAACATTGATCTGCTGCCTCCCGGCACGTGTCCTGACCCATGGCCAGGGCTCCTCTGGCCGCATTTTAAATGCCGTGAGGTTTCCAGGCAGAGACCCCGGGTGGGCTGTCGGCACGTGATGGCAGCAACTCTGGACAGTACTTCACCGCCGTGTACAAGTACTCAGTCCTCCCTCCCACCCCGGGAGGTAGGCATGCTCCCTTATTTGTTTATGACAAGGAAATGGGGTCACAGAGCTCCTCACTGGGAGAGGCAGGGTGTCAGTCAGGTCTGTCTGCTTCTCGATAATAGTAGTGCCCGTGACGGGTTTTACCCAGTATCTACGGGATGCTTACTAAGTGCTGACCAGGGTGCTCAGAACTGGATTTAACTGATGTAATCGTAACAATAACACCATACAGTTGGCACCATTATTATCCCCATTTAAAACATGAGAACTTGGAAGCAAAGGAAGGTTTAGGCATTTGCCCAAGGACACACAGTGAGGCGCTCGCAGAGCTGGGATCTGAAGAAGGCCAATTTGTGTGATTTCCAGGAGGATGCTGGGGTGATAGGTTAGGATCTGTTCTGGCCACAAAAGACAGAACTCCCCCTCCCAATAGCAGTGCTTGAAACAGGTTTCTTTCTTTCTCATTTTAAGCAAGACCCAGGGTGAGCAACACAGGGCTCCTCTGTCACAACCCAAGTGCCTGTTCCAGCTCCACCCCTCACCTCTGCATCCCAGACAGCAAGAGGCAGGAGGAGATGGAGAGGGGCACCCCTCCTTTTAGGAACAATTCCCAGAAGTCTCAGGAGAGCTTTCTGTTTACGTCCTATTGGTCAGAACATGGTCACATGACAACATCTAGCTGCTGGGAAATCATGTGATAAGATGAAAACCAGGGTTCCCACTCTAGTCAGTTTGGCTCAGTGGATAGAGCGTCAGCCTGTAGACTGAAGGGTCCCAGGTTTGATTCCGGTCAGAGCACATGCCTGGGTCGCGGGCTCGATCCCCAGTGTGGGGCGTGCAGGAGGCAGCTGATCAATGATTCTCTTTCATCATTGATGTTTCTCTCCCTTCCTCTCTGAAATCAATACAAATAAAAAAATTTTAAAAACACACTAGGGTTCCTCACTGGCAACATAAAACCAGACCTGTACTGTTGCTAAAGCAGTAAAAACATATTTTATTCAGGAGGATGGCGATAGGGAATAGAAACCTCTGTATGGAATGAACTCCGAATACAGCATTGGCCACTGGATTTATAGCCAAGGGCAGGATCGGGTCAGTGGATGAAAAACTGCTAAGCGGTAACATCAAGTGTGCAGGGGATTCTGGCTAAACAGACCTAACATCTCTGAGAGCTGAGGCGGGGGCCGGGGCGGGAGAGGAACGAGGAACCCAATCAGGGTGAGGGTGAGGGAGGGACTCTTGCCAAAATGACTAACTTAGCAGGATATTTGCTAAAACCGATTTCACCAGGAAGGCACAGACAGGCTGGGAGAGGTCCAGGAGCCTGAATGGAGTCTGGTCCAGCGAAGACTGTCACCGAGGAGGAGGGTTAGGGTGCTTCCCAGGACACTGGCACCTGCTTGGGGGGGGTCACTGGGCATCAGGGTCTAAACACCCTGTGTGAGCTGCTTAAAGCCGTCAGGTAATAAGAGGGGGCTTGAGCCCATGCGCCTGGGCCTCCCCTGTCCTGACCTGACCTGGGGGCGGACGGTCCATGGTGCTAGGCTCTGCCCGACCGACCGGAACTGCCAGCCCACTTTCTACCACAGGTCAGACAGCAAGACAGGTCCCAGAGGTGGTGGGGTTCCTGACAGTGCAGTGGGCAGGGTGGGGGCGGCCCTGGGTAGGGCTGTTCCCTCTGTGCTCAGTTCTCTTTCTTGGGGGAGGGCAGGTAAGAATCATGGGATTGTCTTTAAAAAAAAAAAAATATATATATATATATATATATATATATATATATATATATATATATATGTTGATTTCAAAGAGGAATTGAGAGGGAAAGAGAGATAGAAACATCAGTGATTAGAAGGAATCATTGATCAGCTGCCTCCTGCACACCCCCTGCTGGGGATTGAGCCCGCAGCCTGGGCATGTGCCCTGACTGGATTTGAACCCGGGATCCTACAGTCTTCAGGCCGACGCTCTATCCACTGAGCCAAACAGGCCAGGGCGGATTGTCTTATATAGTTAGGAATTACCTCTGACTGTAAACGTGTAGAGAAAGCATAACCCACACCCAGGCACTTAGTACAAATCCTTTTTTTAAACACCCTACTTCCTATAGATCCATTTCTCCCTGGAGGCTAAGGAATGTGGCCCAGCCAGTGAGGTGTGGGGACCGGGATGTAACCTGCCCCCAGCCACAGCCCCTGCCTCGGTGGGAGCCAGCAGCAGCCCTGTGTGCAGTCTGCTGAGCCCTCAGGAGGGGAAGCAGTGCAGGCAGTGACGTAGGCACTTCCTGCCTCTTTCCTGGGATCCCAAGGTATGAGGTCACTGACGCAGGCCACTGGAGTGTCCGCGGGAGCCCAGGCCACGGGAAGGCCCTGCCCAGGCCTCGTGCAGGTGGCAGAGGTGGCCTGGGCCCAGCATTGGCTCCAGGGTTTCCAGGACCGCGCTCTGGCGGTCATCACTGAGTTGTGGTCGGGCTGTGATTTGGGGTGGTCTGATGGGGAAGGAGTCCCTCTTTGTGGGCCAGGAGTGAGGAACTGAGTCCTGGTGGGTGTGTGAGTGTCATGGGGGCAGTGAGCCCTCTGAGTGGGCAGTGAGGCGGGGCTGGACTAGAACTAAATGAGGAACCTGGGACCCGCGGACCCTGTGCTGGGAGGCTGTCCTGCAGGGCACCCTGGGATAGGCCAAGTCCTCCTTCTGTCCCTGCCTGTGAGTGTTTGGAGTGTGTTAGATGTCATCACTCCTCCTGAGGGGACCACCAGGAGGCCTGGGTGAGGGGCTGAGCTGGTTGGGGACTAGCCGAGGGTGGAGGCTGTGGTGTGTGGGCCTCCAGCCGGACCCCCATGGAGAGTGAACAAGACCAGGCATCCCTCCGAAACCCCCGAAATGCAGAGAGGGGCGGGGCGGGTGAGCTGGACGCTGTCTGCTCACCTCTGCCCCCCCTTGCCCTGCCCTGCCCTGCCCTGCAGGTGGGATGCTATGGAATATGATGAGAAGTTGGCCCGGTTCCGGCAGGCCCACCTCAACCCCTTCAACAAGCAGCTTGGGGCCAGGCAGCATGAGCAGAGGGCTGGTGAGGAGGCCCCAGACGTCGCTTCAGAAGGTGAGTGCCGGGGCGGGTGGAGGGCTGGGTGGGCCATGTGACCCTCCCAGCAGCACCCACTGCCCTTCCTGGTTCCTGCGGTGCGGGGTGCTGGCTTCCCCCGGAGCTTCCTTCTCTCCACGCGTTCCTTTGCAAATGGGGCCGGGCTAGGCTCCCCTCAGCACCTCCTGTGGGCTCCCTGAATCTCAGGGGCCCTTCTGACCCCCAGCTACCCAGCTTTCCCCGGGAAAAGGCAGGCTGACTTCTCTCTGTTGCCTTCCACCTGCACACGCTCACTCCAGAGACCCTGCCTGAGCTGGCCCCTGGGGAGCCGGAGTTCAGCTGTGCGGAGCGTGTGATGGATCTCGGTCTGTCTGAGGACCACTTCTCCCGCCCCGTGGTAGGTCCAGGGTCTGTGTGTGTGTTGGGGGTGGGGTGGGGGGTGGAGCGGGGGATCCACTGGTGAGCACCCAGGGCGTAAGGAGCCAGATATTTTCTTGTCCCCTGACCCTCAGGCAGAGGGGTCATGTGCATCTCAGCTAAGGTTCTTTAAGTCTGAGGCCCACGTGACACCCAACACCCCTCAGCAGAACCAGTTCAAGGGCTGGACCTGGGAAAGGGTTTGGGGGCTGCTGTTCTCATGTAGGGCTGTTCCTCTCCCTACACTCTGGCTTCTTGTGAAGCAAATGCGAGGACTGACTTCATCTGGGGTTCCGTAGGCATGCAGCGGGGGGGGGAGGGGGGGGCGAGGGAGGGAGAGAGGGAAACTCCCTGCCCACAACCCCACCAGCCACTCAGCCGGGACGGCCACTCTTGTCTGTTGTAGATTTTGTTGTGTGGTTTGCTTGGTCACTATGAGGTGCTGGACTTGGGGAGGGGGTCGGGGATGTGGGGGGACTGGGCCGTCTCTGGGCCTGGCGATTAGGCCAGAGGCCACTTCCTCTCCTTGATGACGGGCGAGTGTCGTTTCCCCAGCTTGAGTGAAATAACATGGTCAGAAAAGCGAGCAAATTTCTTTAGAAATTTAGGAAGTTGTGTTTTGAAAAACATCCTGAATGAGGTCTTCAGAGGCCTGTGGGTAGGCGGGTGCAGCTGGGGGCAGGTGGGGTGGGGTGGTTCCTGCCTGGGCTGCTACCGTCCCTGGGCCTTGAGCCAGGTCTGCTCTGGGCCTCACTGTCCATGAGGATGGGTCTGGCGTGGACGGGAGACCGTGAGCGGCCGTGTGGCTGGTGTGTCCCCCAGGGTCTGTTCCTGGCCTCTGACATCCAGCAGCTGCGGCAGGCCATCGAGGAGTGCAAGCAGGTGATCCTGGAGCTGCCCGAGCAGTCAGAGCGGCAGAAGGACGCCGTCGTGCGGCTCATCCACCTGCGGCTGAAGCTCCAGGAACTGAAGGCAGGTGCCGGGCCAGCCCACCAGGGAGGCGGCTGGGATGGAGTGGAAGTCTGGAGGCCTGGGCTGGGGCAGAGGCCAGCCAGAGAGGCAGGCGGAGAGATGGGCCCTCGGTCCATGGGCAGACGCCTTCTCCATCCGTCTGATCTTAAGTGGCCAGTCCTGGGTCATGTGTCCACCCACTGTCGCAAGCGGGTGAAGTAAGTCCCCCCCTTGAACCACAGGACTCAGATTGGGAGGTGGGGCTTCCTGAAGGTCGGGGTGATGGGTCCTGGCAGCCAAAACCCACGTGTCTATAATGTCGTCCTGGATCTGTGCCTCTGGCTTGGCTGCGCTGGCCCATGAGTCCCTGGGAATTTGGAAAGTGCTGTACTCACTAGGATGTAGATAAGGCTGTGGTAACAAAGACTCCAAAATACAGCGGCTTAAAGGACTTAGATGTGTCATTTTACTCTAGAAATGCCACGGGTGGTCCAGGCCCCGTGGCAGGTAATGGTGATGGGGACCCCAGGTCCTCCTTTCCTGTGGCTCTGACAGTCCCTGGGTGGCCACACTCCCATCTGGGCTGCACTGAGCCAGCAGAAAAGAAGGGAGGAAGGGCAGAGAAGGTCATGTCCCTCCTGCTCGCATATCCTTGGCCCTAGGTGCAGCACCCAGGTGCAAGGGGTGCTGAAAGGGTGGTCCAGGCCTGACTGATCACAGGGGTGTTCCATTGCTAAAGAGAAAAGCGGTGACATTGGGAGAAACTCCATCTGTTATACGAGATGCCTGGAAGAAGTAAGTCAAGGGGTGACCTGTGACCCCTGGTTCACCTGTGACCCCTCCCTGGGCTCTCTCCAGGACCCCAATGAAGATGAGCCCAACATCCGAGTCCTCCTGGAGCATCGCTTCTACAAGGAGAAGAGCAAGAGTGTCAAGCAGACGTGCGACAAATGTAACACCATCATCTGGGGGCTCATTCAGACCTGGTACACCTGCACAGGTGGGCAGGGACCCAGACCGGCTCCTCTGGGTGGGCAGTCAGGTCCCCGGGGCTGGGCAGAGACCTCACAGGTCTGCTGCTGTATCTAGTACTCAGGTGACTTGATTCTCGACCGTGTACTTGGTGTTCACTGAGCCCTGGGCATGAATAAGGGTGGAATGAAAAGGCATCATGTGACATTTAAGCAAAAACTGGGAGGTCAGGGACAAGCCAGGTACAAATCTGGGGAAGAAGGTTCCTGCCAGGAGGTGTCCGCAAAGGCCCTGTGGTCCGTTGTACAGGGTCTGCAGTGAAGAGCAGAGAGCAGCGTGGCTGCAGCATTGTGTCTGAGAGGTTGGTCGATGTGGGCTCAGAGGTTGCTGGGCCCGAGTGAGCTGTGGCCTCAGCAGGTGCTGCACACACTTAAGTTGTAACAGGGTCACTCTGGCTGCTGAGCTGAGCGTGCACTAAAGAAGGGATGCCAGGTGGAGGGGGAGGAGGATGGCACTCTGACCAAGCCCCCGGTCTTGCTGGGACTCAGGGCTGTGCCTGGCTGTATCACAATCACGGTGTGATAGGTGCCAATCACAGTGGGGCGGCTGGGGTGAGAAGTGGTCACTAGAAGAACGAGCTGAAGGACTAGAACCGGGTGCATAGTTTTCAGTGTCAGCAGGTGGAAGGATGGGGTTCTGAGGTCTGAGATGGGAGCACCGGGGTGGGTTTGGTGAAGGAGAGCCAGAGTTCCACTCAGAGTGGGTGTGAAGCCCTTTAGGGGTCCAGGTGGGAATGGCAGGTTCACATCGGAGTTCAGGGGCGAAGTGCACACTCCTTCAGGCCAAGGGACCTGCAGTGAGAAGCTCTTGGATTGGCCTGGGAATCTGAGTAGCCCCTCTGGGGCTCCTGGCGGCTGAAGGTCAGCCTGGGCCGCAGGATCCCCCCGACCGCTAAGAGGCATATCACCGGTCCTCCACCCCCAGGCTGTTATTATCGCTGTCACAGCAAGTGCTTGAACCTCATCTCCAAGCCCTGCGTGCGTTCCAAAGTCAGCCACCAAGCCGAGTACGAGCTCAACATCTGCCCAGAGGCGGGGCTGGACAGCCAGGACTACCGGTGTGCCGAGTGCCGGGCGCCCATCTCTCTGCGTGAGTGCCCAGGAAGGGGCAGGTGGAGGCAGCTGTCCTGGGCAGGGTAACAGGCCAACATCTGGGTGAGAGCACTGGATACATCAGGTGGCTAAGGCCAGCATGGCTCCTGCAGGTGCCGTCTCTCTCTCCCGGGGAAGCGACCCGGGGCTGCTATGGCACCTTTCCATGTGGTACAGGCAGACTGGGGCTCCAGCCCAGGTCGCCTAGGAGTACCGTGTGCTGGTGTGCAGCCCCTGTTGTTCACAAGAAAACCTCGGTAGTGGGCACCCATTGTGTCCAGCCCTTGGAGACAGAGAGAGTAAGTCACATGGATCCCTTCAGCTGTCCTGGCGAGCAGTCCTATTATTGTCCCATTTTACTGGTGAGAAAATTGAGGGCAGTGAGACACCCTGACCTGCCTGATGTCCCATGGCTCTTTCTCCTGTGTGTCGTGGGTTTAGCTGGACCATGGGACCAGTGCCATGTGCGGCAGAAGCCCTGTGCGCATGCGCGTGGCTGGGACCCTAAAAGTAGCCGGGACTTGGTAACAACCTACGCCCTCTGCAGGGGGTGTGCCCAGTGAGGCCCGGCAGTGTGACTACACGGGCCAGTACTACTGCAGCCACTGCCACTGGAACGACCTGGCTGTCATCCCGGCGCGCGTGGTGCACAACTGGGACTTCGAGCCACGCAAGGTGAGGGTGGGAGGGCTGGGGTGCAGCCCTGGGGTGTGTGAGGGGGCGTGGCTCAAGGAGGCCTGGGGGGGAGGTGGGCTGGGGCTTGGTCGTCGGGATAGGGGGCTGGTCAGGTGCTGCCTGGCTGTGGGGCCTGGCTGGGCCTGGGGGGCCGGTGTTGCTGGAGGGGCCACTCCGTGACGTTCCCCCAGGTGTCCCGCTGCAGCCTGCGTTATTTGGCGCTGATGGTGTCGCGGCCAGTGCTCAGGCTTCGGGAGATCAACCCTCTGCTGTTCAACTACGTGGAGGAGCTGGTGGAGATCCGGGTGAGGCGGGGGTGGGGGCGGCTACCTGTGTTGTGGGAGCAGAGGAGAGACACACCTGCTTAGGTTACTGGCCCATCAGCTGTCCTCTAGGCCCAGAGGAAATTTGAAAATTTCTAGTAGCCACATTGAAAAAGTAAGAAGAAGCCAGTAAAGTTATTTTGAATAACATACTTATGTTACCCAATATACCAAAAGATTGTTTGAATATAATCACTATACTTTATTAAGACACTAGAGGCCTGGTGCACGAAATTCGTGCACGGGTGGAGTCTCTAGGCCTGGCCAGCGATCTGGGCCTCTTGGGGCAGTCTCACCCAGTCCCATTCGGGGCCAGGCCGACTGGAGCCTGCTGGTGCCAGGCCCGGAGGTGGTCAGAAAGGATCAGACTGCATTTACAGGGCACGTGACTCCGGCAGAGCCCAGGCCACCTGGGCTGGGAGGGCTCTACATCCCTCTCGGATGTGGGGGTAGAGCCACAGGGTGATGGAGCCTCAGCATCCTGGCTGGCCTGGAAGCTGTGCTTTGCCCTTGAGCCTGGCGGGAGCACTCACAAGGCCCTTCCTGGGGGGTGTCAGGTGACACGACTCCCTCCAGGGCAGCCCCCCGGCCACACAGAGTACCAGGGGCAGCCCTGCCCTGGCCTCGGGCCCACCTGCCTCTTGTCCACAGAAGCTGCGCCAGGACATCCTGCTCATGAAGCCGTACTTCATCACCTGCAAGGAGGCCATGGAAGCGCGTCTGCTCCTGCAGGTGAGACGCCCGCCCAGGGAGGTGTGAGGGCAGGTGGGAAACAGCCAGACAGAGGAGGGCCCGTCATGTGCAGGTCTTTTTCAGATGGCTCGGCAGTTTGTGTTGGCACAACAGCCTTTAGCAGAGGGCCTTCCACACTGTCCCAGGCAACACCAGGTCTGTCATGAGCAAACAGGCATTCTACCCACAAAGTGTTCTCTGATCACATCAGTGTGTGGGGTGCTGTGAGAAGCAGGCAGCGTCCCTGCAGCCTCTGTGTGACTCTCCGTGACGCGGGCCAGGCACAGGCCTGCCGGGCAGGGTGGACCACGAAGCACACTTTTCAAGGCTTACCTGTTCATTCCACCAATCTTCACTGAGTGCCTGCTGTGGGCAAACACTGTTGTAGATACTGGGGCGAAGTGAACAAAACAAGATCCTTTCCTCGTCTCAGAGGGGGCCCTTCAGGGGGGAAGATAAGAAAAATTAGCTGTTCATGAGGTCGGTGAGGTCTGTGGACAAGAGGAGGCAGAGAAGGGGATGGGAATGCTGGGGTCAGGACGGGAGGAAGAGCTGTGTGCCAGGCAGAGGTGGGGTGCGTGGGCAGCAGCAAGGTGGCCAGTGTGGTTGGAGGGGCTGACGCTGTTTCTTCCATGAGCTCCCAGGACCCGGACGGTGGGTGGGCAGGGGAAGGGGCCCTCCTGGGGCTCGGAGTCATGGCTGCTGGCCCCGTAGCTCCAGGACCGGCAGCATTTTGTGGAGAACGATGAGATGTACTCAGTCCAGGACCTCCTGGACGCCCACACGGGCCGCCTGGGCTGCTCGCTCACCGAGACCCACACGCTCTTCGCCAAGCACATCAAGCTGGATTGTGAGGTGGGTGCCCCGCTGAGGACCAGGCATCTCTCCTCGCCCAGCCCCCCGGGCAGGGAGGGTGGTGCGCCCTGGCTTCAGGTGCCCTCTGGAGCAGCACTGACTTGCTCCCACCCCACCTCCACCCCCACCCCCAGCGGTGCCAGGCCAAGGGTTTCGTATGTGAGCTCTGCAGAGAGGGTGACGTGCTGTTCCCCTTCGACAGCCACACGTCTGTGTGCAGTGACTGCTCCGCCGTCTTCCACAGGTGGGTGTGGCCCCACCCCACCCCCAGCCACAGGGAGAGGGGCGGGGGAAGATGGTTGGGGCTTGGTCTTTGCTGTCTGGTTTTCAAAGCCCTTTGCCTTGATCCTGAGATAGGGCGTTAGGCCCTGATGTGTGTGCCTGAATCGCCATTTCCACCGAGACAAGCACCTGTGGGCTGGGGAGGGCCCCGGTGTGAGCCCCACCGCTGTCCTGGTTCCTTCTCCCCAGGACTGAGGTTGGCCTCTCAGGATTAGCATAGGCCACGGTGTCCTAAACCTAGTTCCTGGCACTTCTAATGTCCGAGTGATATTTTTTCCAACTTCTCTAGGCTAAAAGAAATACCTAACATTTTGTTCATTAAGTATTTAGGTTAAACAACGTAAGCATTTATGAACCAAAGACTTACTGAATGTTTGGGAAAATAATGCACATAAATTGGAAGAAATTATTTTAACTGTTTAAGAAGCACAATTACTAATAATAGGAGTCTGCCTGCTGGGCCCTGCACAGCTTCTCACAGTGGCCTCAGATGGGACAGCGTACCCCCCCTTCTGCCCACACTGGGTGTTTCCTGCCACTGGCTGTTATTTATCGCAGCAGCTGACATCACAGCTTTGAGAACTGGGGTTGCTGTCACAGGAAGGGTTCATGTTGAAGCTGTGAAGTCCCTTGAGCTAGCAGTTTGCATGGTGTGTGACATGTCAAAGGCTGCTGTGCCCCCTTCAGAAATTTAGCCCATGGGCCCTGTGCCTCCACAGTGCCTGGGGCAGGGTGCCCAGTGGTGATGGGGCAGGTAGGGTTACCGAGACTCGAAGAGATCCAAGCCAGACTGTCCTTGTCAGACATTAATAGGTGCCAATCACAGGCCCAGCAGGCACATGTGGTGCAAACCCTGCTGTGCCCTTTGGAAGACACTGCCTTGGTTTCCCCAACTATAGAGGGAGCCTGATTAGGAAGCTTGAGAATTCACTGCTAACATCTTATATGCAGAGGCCCGCCCTGTGCCCAGGGCCTGACCCTGTCTGCCTGTCACTGTCCCCAGGGATTGCTACTATGACAACTCCACCACCTGCCCCAAGTGTGCCCGGCTCATGCTGCGGAAGCAGTCTCTCTTCCAGGAGCCTGGTCCGGACGTGGATGCCTAGAGCCACGGGCACCCCTCCCAAGCCTCTCTGGAGCCCACCCTACCGGTCATTGCCAAAGTCAAGGTGTTTCTTTGCTCTGGACACCCCTGGGGTGCAGCCCCTGGACCTCACCCACTGGGCCAGAGGTGAAAGCACCACAAAGACGATCAGCCCCCGTCTTGCTGGGACTCAGGGCTGTGCCTGGCTGTTTCCTGCGTGTGCTGCTGTGAGGGCCAGAATGTGCCCCCTTCCACTGCAGGGCTCCATGGTCAGGGGCGTGGGGGAGGGTTTCCGTCTTCCCCATGGTGAAGAGCCCCCCCCCCCCCATGTCCTTGGAGCCAGGCTGCTGGGTCTTGGCTGCCCTAAAAACCCTGGAGGGCTTCCAGGGAGTGGCTGACAAGACCTGAGGACGCCGGCTGCACACCCTCAGCCTTGGCCTGAGACTCATCTGTAGTGGATGGTTGGGATCTCCCTGGAGGCTCCCATCCCCCACCCCTTGTCTCTTTGGGGTCTCCTGGCTGTTCCTGGCCGAGGCTCTTACAGGTGTCCCCCAAGGGCCTGGCCCTGCCTCTACGGTTCTCTCCTATAGATTAGAGGTTGACAGGGCCAGTCCAGGGGTTACGGGTTCTTTCTACGCAACATGGAGGGAAGGGGCCATGGAGCTCTTTCCCCTGGGGGACCAGCTGTGGCTCCTGACTCGGCCTAGCCCGGCTCACTCTGGTGCTCTGAGCTGGGTGGCTGGGGGTCCTGCCTCCAGGTGTGGCTCTGGGAGAGGTTCCAGAGGTTTGAGTGGCATTTCTGGGGACAAGATTTGCCCTGAGATGGTCTGTCCTGCTACAGTGCCTGTGGAGGATCCGGACAGCTCACGGACCACCAGCCAGGGCCTTGTTGGGGACCCTGAGGTCAAGTGCTGGGAATATTTGCTCCAGTGAGTTCAGGCAGGAAGCCTCGAGTCCATGCAGGAAGATGAGCACGAGGTGTGTGACGCCCCATCTGACAAAGGACCCCGGACGGGGGATGAGGCCCACAGCTCTTCCTTGGGGGAGCTGCAGCCAACTCGACATTTGCAGGGATGTTTCATGCATCAGAGACCCTGCCTTTGAGGGGGCGGCCTGGGGGCAGAGTCTTTCCTGCCCTGCCCTGGACTGTGATTGGCTGTCACGTACAGGTAATGGTGGTGGGCAGGGAACACAGCCACTGGGTTCCCCATCACCTTTGACTAGGAAGCCCAAGAGGAGAGGCTGCAGCCAGCAGAAGGGTCAGCTCAGCTTGTTGGCCATTGGCCGACGCAAGGGGTGCTGAAGACAGTGTCATGTGGCGGCTTTAGGCGATCCTCTTGCTGTCTGCTCTGACCTGCCTCCGTGTGACAGCGAGAAGGGGTCAACAGCAGGTCCTCAGCCTGCCTCTCTTGTAGGGTTGCAGAGGGTTTAACCAGTTAACTACCACGTGTCCAAAACGGAAACCATCCCCATACGCCACAGTATTTTGAATTTAATTTAAAAAAATCAATTTGCAATGAATATTACAAAAATAAATATATTACAATTTGAGTGTTCTTGAATATTTTCAGCTGAAAATTCTCACAAAAAATGATTTTAAAGTTGGTCAGAGCTGCCACTTAGGGAAAACATTTTTTTATAGACGTGCGTGGCGTGTGGGGAAGGTCCGCCGCTTGCATCTGTAGATGCTTACGGCGTACAGGGGTTAAGGGCAGGTGCTCAGATCTGCACCTTCTCACAGCTGCACGTCTGTCTTGGGACAGAAGCATTCCTGCGTTCATGTGTTAGGGTCAATGTCCAGAAGAAACGCTAGCATGCTGGCATTTGTCGGACAGAATTGGCTTTTTTAATTTATTTTTTTAGCTCCCTCAATTACCTCCTGCCCCAACACCTCTTCTCCACCTATCCCTTCTGGATGACACAGTCTCCAAACAGAATCACATGTGGTCTTTCTGAGTCCACAGCACTCTAACAAGAACCCACAGAGGAACCAGTTTGCACAGCCAGCACCTTACAGAGTAACGAGGGGCACCCAGCTGGAACGATGCTGCAGCGTCTCATTAAATCTGTGATCTCTAGACTTTGCTGTGTGTGGTGAATCAAGGACAGGTCAGGGTTTGTTGACAGGCAAACCAATTGTGGGTTCTAGGAAAAGCCCACAACCTGCCCCATCCAATTGAGTCTCATTAGCCTGGTTTGGGGAGAAGCACTCTTGATGGGTGATGAGTTCGGGCATGGGTGTCAGACATAGGCCTGAGTGCTCCGATCCCTTCAGCCCCCATTATCCTATGGGATGGATGAGAACGCAGACTATCTCATGGGCTGTTTGGGGGCTAGGAGTCACTGACCACTGAGCGGGGCTGCAGAGAATGCTCAGTGTCCCAATGGAAGGATTGTCTCGTTGACCCAGCATCACAAGAACGTCACAGGTCCTGTGCCTGGTACATCTTGTTAGGGCCACTACAAGGCTCTCACTGAAACTCAAGGCTATTCCCGTTACCCTTGGACGACAGGAAACCATACATCCCTACTGCAAGTTATGTCCAAACAGCTGCATATGTCCATTTTCCTACAGAGATATCATCTGCAGATTTGACCAGGATCTCAAAGGGGCTGTGACCCAGAGAACCTCAGAAATCTCTGCTCATCACCTATGTCCAGTTGCAATCCAGATAAGCTGTCAGCAACCCTATTCCTGAAGGTTTGAACGGCACCTCAGCTACAAATAACTAAAGCTCTACTTTGGATATCAGGGGGAGGATGCAATCTTTTCCCCTTTCAGGTTATGAAATAGTAATTAACATCTTTACTTTGACCTAGACTTACAGGAACGTTGCAGAAACATCCCCACGTACCTGTCTCTGGATGGCCCACGTGTAAACCATCTGCCCCATTTGGTTCATTCTTTTCTTCTCTGAACCATCTGACTGTAGGCTGAAGAGGATGCCACTTTGCCTCTCAATACTTGTGTATATTCCTCCCAACCAAGGAAATTACCTTACATGGCCTCGGTGCAATTATCAGAAGACATAAGAAATTAACATTGCTTAACAAGTTGTCATGCGTTATTTTTTAAAAAGTCTACCTTTATCTATTTCTGGACCAGTTCTGACTACTAAAGTGCTTTAATTACAGACCCAATGTGTTTTAATGTCTAGAAGTGCTAGTCGCCTCATAGTTTTGTTTTTTTTTCATGAGTATTCTAGCATGCAATCTTTTTTTTTTTTTTACAAAAAAATGTTTTTATTGATTTTAGAGAAGAAGAGAGAGGGGGAGAGAGAGAAGTATTGATTGGTTGCTTCCCATAGGGCCCATAGGGCCTGGGACTGATGAACCCAAAACCTGGGAATGTGCCCTGACTGGGAATTGAACCAGTGACCTTTCAGTGCAAGAGATGACACTCAACCGAGCCACACTGTCCAGGGCTCATGCAAATTTTTTAAAGCACATATTTAAATAAAATTTTATTGACAAAATTTTATACTCAAGTCTCAAAATTAAAATATCAGAAATAGGGTTTTCAGGGATGTTAAATCTCTGGAAGCAGAGAGACTTGGCTGAGCCTTATCCATTGAGGTCATTTTGTTGCTTCTGGCTTTACTTTAACTTTTGGTTACACACACTGAAAAACAACCTAAGATAGTTGCTTTAAGCGTCACTTTTTCTCATTGTACAATTCCCTGTAGCAATTTATGGCACCACCGATCGCTCTCGAAACTTTCAGTTTCCACCCATCATCGGGACTGCTACTGGTAAGGATCTGTAAGCCAGCCTCAAAATGTGAGAGGGCTGCCCAGAGTTCTCCTGTGGTTAGTTGACGCAGAACAGGTTGAGTGTCTTCACTCTCCTCCTCTCCTGCTGGCTCCTGTTCCAGCTGCATCAGCTCCTCACTAGAGAGAGCATCCTCGTGTGACTGTAGCAACTGGTCCACGTCAGCTTCCACAAGCTCTTCAAAAGCCAGAGTCTTGGCAAGGGTCATAGTGTTTTTTTGAAGCTGTGCAATGTTATCTGTTTGGGAAAAATTCTGGAACTGAACACACTGGGGCCAAATTTTCTCCCACACACTGTTCATTGTTGCTGGGCTGAGTGCCTCCCAAGCTACTGCAATGTTGTCTATAGCATCCAAGATGTAGTTTCTCCCAAACTCCCTGACCGTAGCTGTATCCTCCCCATCTGTTGCTTCTAGCATGTGCTCAAAAGTCCTTCTAAGGTAGTGAGCTTTGCAGGTGGAGGCTACGCCTTGACCCATGGGCTGGATGGAGTCGGCTGTGCTGTCATGAAGATATTCCACTCTTACATGATCAGACAGGCCACTCAAAGTGACTGGGTGGCATGTGCATTGTCCAGGATGAGCAATGCTTTGTTGCTTCGATTATTTTTGGCACAGTATTTTTCAACAGCAGGACAAAAAAAGTACGTGAACCATTCATGAAAAATGCTCCTGGTTGCCCAGGCCTTTCTGTTTGAGCGCCAAATCACAGGCAACTTGGGCTTGGAGCCCCCCTTCGGAGCCCGGGGGTTTTCTGAGTGGTACACCAGTAAGGGCTTCAACTCAAAGTCCCCAGCTGCGTTGCCACCAAGCAGCAGCATCAAACGGTCTTTGGACGATTGAAACCCTGGCTGAGCTTTTTCCTCCACAGAAATAAACGTTCCTTCAGGCATTCTCTTCCAATAAAGCCCTATCTCATCGACATTAAAAACTTGCTGGGGGGTGTACTCACCGTCTTCCATGATGCTTTTCAGCGCTTCCCGGTATGTGTCCTGGTTGCTAGAAGCTGTGCCGTTCATCTTGAAGTGGGGCAAACGATGGCGCTCCTTGAACCTCACAAACCACCCTTTACTGGCACTAAAGGTTTCTTTTTGAGAGCTTTCCCCTAGTCCACGCTGCAAGGCATCGAACAAGCTCTTAGCCTTCTCCTGGATCATGGCAACACTCGGCGGCAGGTTCCCTGGCTCTGGTCTTCCAGCCACAGGCGCAGCCGCCGCTCCACAGTCTCCATGGCTGCACTTCGATGGCGAGTCAACCGAGAGGCCCTTGAGGGAGTAGCTACTTGTGAGCTCACTGTTATTTTTTCTTTATTATCTCGGATCGTCGCCACTGTAGAGACAGCAAGGTCCAAGGCCTTTGCGATCTGGCTGAGCTTCTCGCCTACCTCAAACCGTCGTAACACCCAATTTTATGTCGAGGGGAATTGCTTTCCGTTCCCTTTTGGCATTTGGGACGACCTTTGGGGGCCTTTTCCCGGGCATGTTTGCCTCCAGAATGTAGGGAAACCACAGCAGTCCCCGGGGGGAGAGGCCTGTGCACCCGGCTCGCGGGCAGGGCTTGCGGAAGGGAACCCGCTGGCGGAGGCGCAGGGGGGCCTCCCCGGGGACGTGGGTCACCACAGCCTGCCCAGCTCTACGGCCCAGCAACAGGCTGTTCATCCTCGACGCGAAGGCGGGCAGCCAGGCCTCTGGGGTCCGTCAGTGTCCAAACCCGGGACTGCACAGCTGCAGGCGCATCCAAACTGCCTGGGTCTCTGTGGTCCGAGAACAGACAGAAAGTCGTGCCGGGGAGTCACGCTGCACAGCACCCGCCGGGTCAGCTCCTCTGTTCTGAGGGTTCCCGGGCGCAGCCACACGTGTGCCCTGCACCCCCGCGCGCCGGTCGCAGCGGCCGACCCGGTGGGGAGCGGGTGGCGTTCGCTTAAGCGGCCGCTGCCCACGGAGGACCGGAAGTGCGTGTCCCTGTCTGTGCCAGATTCAAAGTCAGTCTAAAGCACTGCTCCTGGCACCGAGTCCGCCTCGTTCGCTGGTTCCTGTGCTCCGCTGTCTGGTAGAGGAAGGCGGCGCTCACGTTCACTCCCTACAGTCAGGCGAGAAGCAGGCTCCTAGAGAGGTCCCGGCGCAGGCTCCGCGGCCTCGCTGCGCATGCGCACAGCTCCCGAGCCTGTCAGAGGCCTCTGCGACCAGTTGGCCACTGCATTGCGCATGCGCACAGCTCCCGAGCCTGTCGGCGGCCTCTGCGACCAGGTAGCTGCTGCACTGCGCGTGCGCGCCCCCCAGCGGCGTGTGATCGGCGGCTAATGTCCCAGCGGCTGGTGGCGGCCGCTCGCCGAGCTGTGGAGATGCCGCGGCGGCCCGGGACCTGGCAGAACGGCCGGGTCTGGCGTCAGAGCCCTCGAAATAGCTCCGCAGGTGAGCGGGGAGGCGCTGCCCGCCGGTTGCGGGAGGCGAGTGACGCCATCGGGGTGCGCCGGCCAGCGCGGGGGACGGGGGCGGGGGTGGATGGTGTTGGGAGGCCAGGATGAGGGCGTCAGAAACGCAGCAAGAGCAGCTTCAGCTCCGTCCCGCTGCCGCCTCGGCTGCCCCTGGTCCTAACCCGTCGCCCTCCGAGCCCCGGGGGCCCTCCACGCTTCTCAGCGGTTCCCACCGCGGGCTCCCTGGGCAACCTCAGTAGGTGCCCCGCCTCCTTTTCTGGCTGCAAAGAGTCCAGGTTGAGCGTCTTGCGTTCGAGTCCCGCTCCTCCCGGCACCTCGCTCCACGGATGTTCTTCCGCCTGATCCGCCTCGCAGAGTTGCTCTCCCGCCGGTGGAGATAATGGACGCGAAAGAGTTTTGTGAATCGTTACGAGTTTCTAATTCAGCCGCCCCTCGTGGAGCCCTGGGGCCTCGGTGCTGAGCCTCACAGACTCTCGCTGAACCCACACCTGGCCTGCAGGTGGGCGCCTTGCAACCTCCTATCCAAGAGCCGGCCAGCGGCTGCCCTCGCCTTGCAGTTCATGTCCTCCTGCTCCAGCTCCTCCACTTTTAACTACTTCTGTGTTGCACCCCTTCCCCTGGCTTAGAATCTGAAATGTTACTCCACGATTAGGTTGTTTTATTTTTTATTGATACACCCCAGAGAGCAGTAATCACATTGATTTTTTTCCCCTCTAATACACCTATGTGCAGTTTTTGGGTTTTGATACAAGAAAGATACCTTGATTTCTGATTTTTTTTTTTTGGTTATGGTGGCTCTTATTGTGATTGTTTTTACTATATTGGCTTTTGACCTACTGTAGTGAAATACCTAAATTATCTCTAGTTCTTCCCTGGCTGGGTTACTCAGTTGGGTAGAGCGTTGTCCAGACACACCAAGGTTGCGGGTATGAACCCCAGTCAAGGCACATACAAGAAGCAGCCACTGAATGTGTAAAGAAGTGGAACAACAAATTGGTGTCTCTCTCTCTCTCTCTCTCGCTCAAATCAATTAAAAATTTTTTAATTGTATCTAGTTCTGTCTTTAACTGATGTAAGTATTAGCAGCTTATGGTAAAAACTGGAGTTTTCCTCTTGGAGGACTGAAGAAACGGTACCCAAGAACGTTTGCTCTCCTTGGCCTGACAAAAACACTAATCTTTGGGTTGATCATATATAAATTATGTAGTATCCTTTGTTTTTAAGTTTCACATAATTTTAGTCTTAGAATTGTGTTTGTTTTTGAGGCTGCAATAGTTTCAGTTACCAAAAATGCCTTGGTCAAGAAACGGTTAGTTTTCTTTGACAGCTGTAGCAATAAAAGTATTTTATGTCTTCCTGCAGTAAAGTTCCTGTTGGAATAATTTTTTAAAGGGATATTTAAGCAGACAAATAAAGGCAGCAAGCTTACCCCTCGGGCTGGATCCTTGTCCCTGCACACCTGTAACTGCCACTGTGAGCAAATGCAGTCCAGCTCAGAAGCGAATCCTCTTTCCCATCTTCCTTTCAGTGCCTCCAAGGCAGCTGCTTTCAGCTGCTGGTTCTGCCCGCACAACTGCTGTCATTTTCCCAGCGGCTGTTCAAAACCACCCAGAGGTAAATACCTATTATTGGCAGCGCAAGGTTCCCAGGAACCCAGTGCGGCTTCCCCAGTGTCTTCCCCACAGTGTGTGTGTGGGGGGTGAACCAGGGAACAGGTGTGTGATGACCCTGATGCCCATGCCTCCCCACTTTTGCAGCTCCCATATTGAGCCACACTAAGCTCTTACCGTTCTGGCTCACACAGCACCTCCACATCTTCACAGATTCCATACTCAGTAAAGACGGTGAAAGGAAACTCTTTCAGAAGGAAGCTGCCTCTGTTGGGAGGCGTGGGAACAAACCTTTTTTTCTGCACGTCGAGGACCCACAGGCTGAGCCTCGTACTTGGAAAGCAGAACTGAGACAGTGACAAACCGCAGTTGGCTTGGCGCACATCTGCCCTTCACACAGGCAGCCCTGTGCTCAGTCCTGCAGTGCTTGGTGGGGGCAGCCTCTTGCTCAGTGAGACTAAGTACCTGGTCTTGCTCACTTAGAGGATCTGTGAGCTGGAAACGCTTAGCATGTGAATGAGGGCTGAGTCCTCTCCCCGCCCCTCCTGAATGGTTCCGAGGAGGTCACCTGATACTGCCTAGGGTATCCCAGAAAGAAGTAGCCTTGTACATAGACACCCTTGAGCTCCAAATGCATTTCCAGGTCTTGGCCTGGAACAGCCATTCTTTAGTGGAGAGCCTATTTGGGAATAAAAGGCTGGGGCATCCCAAAACCTCAGTAGCGATCTTTCAGACACCGTTGTTTCCTATGAGTGTAAACATAAGACATGCTTCCTGCAGAAAAGTCATTGGGAAATCCCGGTATCCAGAAGGCGATCCCCATCTTGTGCTGACCAAGGGTGGCTTGTTACGGGGCCCTCCTGGCCTGTGTGGAGTGCATGAGCTCACTGTCTCAGTTTGCATCCCTTCGCTGTGTCCTTGGATTGCTTTCCAGGGGGCTTTTCTCCCGGATGGCTGGGTACAGAGGCACAGCAGCCTGTGGGCCGCTGGGGCTGCGTCTTTATTCTCATTGGAATCATTCCCTGTGGTCTCTGCAGCCACGTCGCTGGGTGGTAAGAGTGTTTCTGAATGGGCTCTGGATATAAGACTTCCCTGTGTCGTCAGTAGAAGGCTTTCGTTCCTGGTCCTTTCGTGTTTTAGAGCCGGGGTGGAATGTTAGTGCTCTGATGTCTCAAATTCTAATTCCTCTTCTTGAATTAGATCCTGTTTATTAAAATGGAAATGGGTACATACATAGCCCAGGTTAAAACTGTCCATGTCAGTAGGAAAACAACCCTTATATGTATTTGGAGAGTGTTAGCTGTCTCGGGTACAGTTCAGTCTGTGTGGGGAGAACATGTCCGAGGCCCTTGGTAGCTGCTGAGCATCCTGTCAGCACCTCAGCTGTTCTGACTGGGTTTCTCTTCTCTGCTCGGTGGACTGGCTGGGAGTCGTGAACAAACAGTTTGTGCGTGTTATTCTTGCCCCTGGTACATCACCCGAGGTGAGGGCTGGGTTCAAGACTGATTCCAGTTGCTTTAATGTAAAGCGTAGTTTTGTATTTTTCGGAGAAATGCCTCTTTTGATTTACCACCAACAGTAACCCACGTTCATGTGACTGTTTATTTCTCTGACATGCATCACTAGCAGCCTTCCAAGCAGACAGGATTGAGTTTGCCAAGTCATATGTGAGGACCACCAGCCGAGGCTTGTGAGGAGAGAAGAACAAAAAGGCAAAAACAAGGGACAAGGACAGAATGTTCTACTTCCGTGTAAAACCTAAGGGCCGTGGTTTATGGGTCAGGACAGGGAACCCTCCTGTTGTGAGCAGACTCACTTGGCACTGGCGTAGAGGCAAACGTGGGTGCTGCATGTGGTTGAGAGGAACAGGGTTTCCTGGACGCTTCCTGCTGGGACATGCTCTGTGAGTGCTGTGCTGTGTGCTGCGTGTGCGAGTGTGTGTACGTGTGTATGTGTGCGAGTGTGTGTACGTGTGTATGTGTCCGTGCAGCGTCACCGCCTGGCTTTCCATCCTCAGCTCAGCTGCTTGGGAAACTAGTCAGTTGGTTGAAGGTGTCCAGAGTGCTAGTCAGTTGGTTGAAGGTGTCTAGAGTGCCTTCCCAGGGATGGACGTCAGGTGTCCACATGGCGAGCAGCTGTCCATGGTCAGGTCAGCAGGCTGGTGTCGCTGATCTGTCCTTGTTGAACTTTTTACTAACGTGTGACATGTTTAGAGAAGCACGTAGAGAAATTCATGCAAGAGTAGGCCTTCCTTCCCCCAGATGCTGGCACCTGGGCTTCCCTCCCAGGCCCGGCTTCGTCTGGAAGGAAGTCCGGCCTAATTAGCATATTACGCTTTTATTATTATAGATTGGCAGTTGAGGTGTCCAGAGCCTGGAGCGTAGCGCTTCTTCCCGGGGTTGCTGGCCCAGCACCTGGCACCCCTACTGCTGCACCCTCCCTCTCCTCTCTGGGCCATCGCGCCCGCCCCCGTCCCCACGAGCTCTGTTGTCAGCTCCTGGGCCTGTGCACAGGACACCTGGCCAAGAATCTTCCATAGGGGGCCCAGGGTTTGAGGAACCACCTGCCATGCACTTGGCGCCTGTTCTCTGGGCCCTTGATTCACAGGTGAATAAAATGGCTGGGGTTTCAGCCTCATGGTGGCCTCTGCTCACCAGTGGGGCCATCCCTGCTGGCTGCCTCCCTGTGAGGACCTGCTGCTCTGAGCCTGGAGCTCCTGGAAACCTGCTCTTGGCCGGGGGAGGCTCACACAGGAGGGCCAGGCCTCTGTGGGGGCAGGATCTTCACTGTGATGACTAAAGGTCCAGGGCACTTGTCGCGGACGGGTGATCCAAATAAGCCGCCCTGAGTGCAGCACAGCAGGCCCCAGGGGCTTAGGCTGGAGAAAACGGAGCACCCCTGGCTCGCACCCTCCCCACACCGCACTGTGGGGACGGCTGCAAAGGAAGAGACGGTGGTTGGGCCTTAGGGCTTAGGACGGGTGATGTTTTAATGCCACTTCTGTAATTAGCTCTGCAGCAGCAGGAAGGATGGATGTGTGTGGGGGGAGACCCGGGGTGGTGGTGCAGGCAGGCCACCCTTATAGGATTGGGTTTTAAGGGGCATTCTTGACTGTGCCTGGTCAGTCAGTGTCCCGTGTTGTTGCTGATCATGTGGCAGGAGAGGGAGTCTCCTGCCCCTACGTGGAAGGCAACCACCTGCATTTCTCAGGCCAATTTGCCTGGGGGACCTTCCTCTAGCCAAGCACAGTGGGCCCACTGCCCAGGGCTCCTATGGAGGAGCACATTTCAGTGGGGAACAGATCAGGGCAGGTTTCCGTGGGAACAAAAAGCAAGCTCACACATTTATTTTAAAACCAATCTTGGACTTGCAATCAGACCAGAAGCCTGTCCTGTCCTTTAGCACATAAAAAGCAGTGTTGGGAGCAGCTGAGCCTGGTGGCCTGCTTTGGGGGCCAGGGGCTGTGCCCACGTTCTCCCACACCTCCAACCCCCTTGGGCCAGGATGTGTGCATCGATAGAGTATGGGGACTGCATGGGCAAGGGACTGGAAGAAGGTGACCCACCCCCAAGCAGTCTGAGACAGTCGTGCCGTATTTGGTGTTCTGAGCTAAGGAGGGTGGGCCCGCTGTCTTGCAGGGACCAGGACGAGCAGGGTCTTAGGGCCTGGGAGGGACCCCATTGCTGGCACTGCTCCCTGGGTGGCTGGAAGGGGACAGGATTGAAATAAAGGTGGAAATGTTCAGGATTGACTCTTCCACCCACGTATTTGGCTAGACCCCAGGGGCTTTGCAGAGCGGCAGTCATCTACTCAGCATCCACTCGGGAACCTTGTGACAGATAAGAGCACCAGTCCTGTGGACAGAAGGTTCCAGAAGGCCCAGTCCACTCCTGTCTCATCCCCGGGCATTGTCAGCCCTGATCCAGGGACCAGGAAGGAATTGGACATCAGGCCATGGGCTGTGCTTGTGCTGGGTGCCTTGAGACCCTGACCTGGAGCCATGTGGGGTGGGCAGAGTGTCCACGGAGCCGCACATCACATTTCCTCTGCCTGGGTCCCGGGGCTGCCTGGCCTAGTTCTCCTTGGGCCTCTCCACAGTGAGAAACGTGTCCACAATCGCTGGCTGCCGCTCAGGGTCGCCGAGGTGCTGCTTCTCACGGTTCTGCTCTGCCCTGGTCCGAGTCCAGGATGGGGACCGCAGACAGCCGGCCCGGGGCAGTGGGTGCAGGCCTGGTGGGAACACGGGTAGGGTCAGCATGGCCTGGGGTCCTGCGTCTCTCCTGTAGATACCAGGCTGGCCCTGTGTGCTTCCCAACACAGTGTTGGCCACACAAGGGGTCCCCAGGCACTTATTTAATGTGAGTGCCAGCAACGAGGACGTGTGGGTATGAACCCCCCACCCTGGGCCCGCCTGCATGTGGTTTGAGCAGGGAGAGAGGAATGTCCCTGGTCCCACTCACCCCACTGGCTGCCTTGCCGTTTCTGAGGCTTTTGGGGTCTTGGGCCCAGGACAGCGCTTCCTTGGGAACCAAAGTGGGCACCACGCCAGGCTGCGCTGAGGTGGGGCCAGGTTGGTGAATGGCACCTCCTCTGTGTTCAGCTTAACTTGTGACTTTTTTAGATTGTTTTTTTAATCCTCGCCTGAGGACATGCTCATTCATTTTAGAGGGAAAGGGAGAGAGAGAAACATTGATCAGCTGTCTCTCCCACCCGCCCCAACCAGGCTGGGGATCGAACTCGCAACCTAGGTATGTGCCCTGATCAGGAAGGAAACGGTGACCCTTCGGTGTGCTGGACGGTGCTCCAGGCAACTGAGCTCCAGCCGACGGGGCTTAACTAGTGAGCCATTTAGTAAATGCTTCCTTCAGTGGGTCTGTGCCTTTGGCCTTTGGTGGTGTTTGAAAAGCAGAACTGAGGAGGGGTAGCAGGAACAGGAGGCACATAGATATGTAGAAGGCAGAAATGTTGAATAAAATGGTGCTGTGGTGGCAAATACTTAAACACAATCGAGATAAACTTATTTTTAAAAACGGATTTCGGGGAGCAGTGTTTAGTGGTCTCGGGCCCCAGGGCCTCCCCCAATGCCCATCGTGTGCCAGTGCCAGTGCCAGCCTCACCTGCTGGTGATTCACCCGTCAGGTTCTCATCATCGGAGTCAGCAAAGACCTCGGCCAGTTCCTGGTCGGACATGTCGGTCAGCTCGGTGAGGTCCAGGAGGTCAAAGTGCACCTCGAGGGAGGACACACTGCTGAGTGGCTCTGGGGGCAGGGGGCGTGTCACTGCGCAGTCATCCGTGGGGCCCCCTGCCCCCACGAGGCCCAGGGGAGACCCAGAGCTCTGGGTAAAGCCCAGCACGGCCCCCAACTCTGCTCCCCACACTCAGGACCAAACGCCTTCTGGGGAGCCCCACTTATAGATGGTACAGCTGAGGTCCAGCGAGCCAAAAGCTTGAAAAGCTCAGTGCTCGCCACACTGGGGAGTGTTTGGACAGGATGCGGCCCCTGGTCCCCACTCCCCGTGGGCCACAGGTCCCCATGGAACGTGCCAGGCAGCTCCCCTGTACTTACGCCTCCGTTCTGTGACCTGCAGGAGCCCTGGGGCCGGTATTGGGATTCCCACCTCCTCCTGCTCGGCCACAGGCAAGTGGCCGCTGTCCCCTGTCCCAAGGGCCGGGGCATCCAGGGCAGCCAGTGGCACCTCGATCTCCTTAACTATTTCTGCAAAAGACAGAATGCTTTACCCGCAGGACACAGGCAGGAGGACTTGAGAAGTTGCCTCATGGGTGCTGGGCAGTGAGCAGGGTGCTCAGGGTAGCCTTGGGCCAGGACCCCAGACGAGGTGGGGGCTTCTCTGAGGAGGCTCCTTGTTTTCCATATTTAAGTTTGTTGTGAGGTGAGGGCAGGAGGCCCCTTGAGGGCGGTGCTTGGTGGAGGTGGGACCACAGGAACCCAGGCTCCCACACGTCCCCTGGGACCCCACAGCCGAGCAAGTAGACTCCAGGGACCGACCCGGGGGCCCCCAGCAAGGCTCTGCGATGTCTCGGGTGGATGCCAGAGTCAGAGTGGATGAAGCTCCAGGAGCAGCTGCCGCCGTCGCGACGAGGGGCCCCGCTGGGGCTCTCGGTGCCAACAGCTGCCTGTGAGGGTGGGCCTGTCCTCCCCACTGTGGTCAGCAGCCTGGACGCCACCATGTGGGACATGTGGGTCTGGAGGGTCCCGGCTTACAGCTGCAGAGCTGGGCGGTGCGCCTGGCCTCGGGACGGGCACCACCTGCCCTGGATGGGGCTGAGGGAAGGTGTGCCTGCTGCCCGCGGGCGGCCTGCCCAGCTCGGCACCCTACTGCCCTCACGTGGGCCGGCCAGGCTGGACAGGCTCGAGATCCGGTTTCTACCTCTGGTGCATCAGGAGTGTGGCTTCTGAGCATCCTTAGAGGGTAGAGTTACACCCACCCCTGTCTTGGCCCCCACAGCCTGGCAAGGACACCTTCCCGCCCAGAGGCCACGAGAGATGAGATTCGGACCCTGCTCTGTGCTGGGGGTGCTGGGCCAAGGAAGCCCTTGGGGGCCTTGGTCTGCAGGACACTTTGCTTTGTGTCCTCATGGGGAGGGTGGCACCGGGGGTAAGTGTCCTGGGGCCTGTCACACTGAGACACTTCCACACCTGACCTGTGGGGGTGACCGGGCTGAAGCCTCTGGGGTGATAACTAGTGACAATGCCTCTCGGTTTTCAGACTTGCTCTGTGCCAGGCACTGCCCAGTGCTCTGTTCTCTGGACGTCACAACCAGCCATGAGGGCGGAGCGCTGGGCGTTGTGCTTTAGAGAGTGGCTCAGCTCCCTGCAGGCACCACACAGGGGACCATGGAGTCTGAGCTCTCGGCCTCCATTCCCAGGTCATGGTGCAGGGCTGGGAGCAGGGGCAGAGGAGGGAGGAGACCCCTGCCTGTGCCCGCAGGGAAGCTGGAATATGTTTCCTGGGCCCTCCCCAGGCGGAAGCGGACTTGAACGATGGAAGGATAGAGGCAGGGGTCTGCTCACAGCTGCCCTGTCCCTCGGTTGCTGGGTGGGGCCCTTCTCTAGCAAGAAAGCATCCATTCATTCATTCTTCAACCCAACAAAGGTTTCCTGAGTGCACACTCTGTGCCAGGCCATAGCATGAACCAAGTGGGTGGTCCCACCCTCGAGGACGGGCAGTTCTCCTGTTGGGGGCAGGGGTCTGAAGGTGGGCGGGAGCTGCGTCACATCTGAGGGGACAGGGCGAGGCCCAGGGGACGGGTGGGGTACATCCCGTAGATGCTGACTGCTACTCCGAGGGAGCGAGCGGTGCAGTGCTGGAGGGTCTGTGCTGAGAGGGGCACCCGCTAGTTGCACCTTTAAGGGACGCAGTCCAGGTGGGAAGGATGAAGACCACAGGGGCTGAGATGGGGGCTGGGGGGACCCAGCAGGACCTCAGCCAAAGAGCACACTCCTGGCCCATCTAGCGGGGAAGTGGGACTGGGAGCGTCCACGTGCCTCTTTACAGACAGAGGGAGGCAGGAGCCTCGGACAGCCCCTGGGACAGACTCCACAAGCACCGTGGCCTGTGGCACTGACCGTAAGAAGCACGTTTTACAAAATTCCAACATCCCAGAAACAGCAAAGCGTCTGTGTGCTGTAGAGTCAACGGCATATGGTGTGTGTCTGGTCTTCTGAGTCATGTCATTGCCTTTTGGCAGTGCCTGGTCTCTGTAAATCCTGGTTCCCTGGTCTGTCCCAAAGCTGTGGGGGAAGAAGATGTAGCTTCTGCCATCAAGGACACTGGTCCTGGGCTAGAAGAATGTGAGGGGAAGGGAGATGAAGAGTCAGTGTGCCACTGCAGATGCCAGGGACAGAGCAGCCCAGGAAGGTCAGGGCTGATCTTGTCAGGTAAAGCAGGTGGCCATGATGCAAAAACAGTCCAGCTGTTAAATGCGGAGTCACCGCACAGTCCAGCCATTCCACTCCGACGCTTAAACCCAAGAGAACCAAAAGCACATGTGCACACAAACACTTGAACGCAAATGTTCACAGCAGCACTGAGCGTCACAAAAGGCAAAAGTGAAAGCAAACGCAAATGTCCATCAGTGGCTGACGGATACACAGAACGGGGTCCATCCATCACTGGATACTACTCAGCCACAGAAGGGAACGGCGCTCTGACACCGGCTATAACGTGGATGAACCTTGAAAACACGGTGAGTGCAAGAAGCCAGACACAAAAAGGCCACATGTTATGGCACCATTTATGCAGATGTCCAGAACAGGCAAATCCATAGAGTAGAAAAGTAAATCAGAGAAGACACAGAGTAGATTGGTGGGTGGGGTGTGTATGGAATGTGGAGTAACTGCTGACGTGTACAGGGTTTCTTTCCTGAAAAGCTAAAATTAGACGCTGGTGATGGTTGTACAACTTTGTGAATACAGATGCTCCCTAACTTATGATGGGGTTATACCTTGATAAACTTGTCGTAAGTTGAAAATATTTTAAGTGTCCCTAGCCAGTGTGGCTCATTGGGTAGAGCATCAGCCTGTAGACTGAAGGGTCCTGGGTTTGATTCTGGTCAGGGGCATGTACCTCAGTTGCAGGCTCCTGGCCCTGGTCAGGGGCATGTGGGAGGCAACCAATTGATGTGTCTCTCTCACATGGGTGATTCTCTCCTACCTTCCACTCTCTCTAAAAATCAATGGAAAAAATATCCTCGGGTGAGGATTAAAAAAGAAAAGAAAGTATTGTAATTAAAAAATGCATTTAAGACTCCTCATGTACTGAACATCGTAGCTTAGTCCAGACACCTCAAATGTGCTCAGAAGACCACGTACATTAGCCCACAGCTGCCCAGCACCACAAGAGACAGTAGCGTTCGCTAGTCTGGAAAAGACCAAAACTGAACATTCAAAGTACAGTTTCCACTGGATGCTTATCACTGATTGTCATCGTAAAGTAAAAAAATCATTAAGTTGAACCATCTTAAGTTCAACTTAAGTACTAACAATACTAAATTGGAAACTGTAAAAGGCTGAATTTTAGGACATGGGACTTATATCTCAATTTTTGAAATCATCAGTGGAAATAAAGGTGATTTTTGGCTGGCATTAAAGGGCAAAGCCAGGATGACTTAGGACATGAACCATATGCTGTACACCTACTTACTATGTGCCAGGCACCTGGCTCAGAGGCTGAGACTGGGTGTGAGCTCCAGGATCTGGGCTTGCCCTCGTGCACGGTAGGTGCACCATAAATGTTTGTGGAATGACTGAGCCCAAAAACCCATATATATATATGTCTAAGCGACCATTACGACCAGTTGACTGAATGACCAGTTGACCAGTCGCTATGACATGCACTGACCACCAGGGGGCAGATGCTCAATGCAGGGGCTGCCCCCTGGTGGTCAGGGCCCTCCCACAGCCATCCTCCTGCAGCTGGCCAACCTCCCATGGTCTCTCCCCCCAGGACTGGACGAGATGGCCCCGATCGCAGGCCAGGCTGAGCGACCCCATCTGTGCACGAATTCATGCACCGGCCTCTAGTAGTTAACAAGAGGCTCTCTGATCGATCAGTCTGATCTCTGGAGGACAAAGGGACACATGTCTCACAGGTCAGACCCCCTGCTCTTCCTGGGGCACAGCAGAGCAGGGAGCGCCCTGGCAGGCGTGGGCAAGGTGGTTGGCAGCCTGATGGAGCCACATGCGGGGGTCAAGCCAGCCAGGGCTGAGGCCAGCAGGTGTTTCTGATGCCCAGGACACTCCCTGTGGGGAGACTGAAGTTGGGGTGCCACAGTCTGCCCCCTCCCCCAGGGCTGACTGCTAATGTGAGTAGAGTGGATAGGGTTACTGTGTGCTATGCCGCTGACCTATTTTCAGCACGATTGTGCTGAGAACGGCCGAAATTTCAAGTCCCCTTCTGTGTGTCCAGGGCCTTGCCCCAGCATCAACGAGGAGGCCCTCTGCGCGCACCCACGAGCAAACGCAGTAATGAAATGAATAAATGAATGTCATAAAGAAGGCCGCAGCGAGGGAGAGATGTCACAGAAGTGGGGCACCCGCACCCTATTTCCCCAGCCCTGGTCCCTAGACTCAGCGCCCCTCCTCCTCACCCCGTCCAGGCTCAGCCTCTCTCTCCCTGTGGGTGGGCTAGTTTTCCAGAGTCAACAGTTGAGGTCCTTCAAGAAGTACACTACCCACCACAGCCCCTAATCTTTTCAACTCTGGATCTGCACTCTTGGATGACTCAGATATTCATTCATTTTAAGTCCATGATGAGATCTGAGTGATGCTCTATAAACACCTTATCTTTTCGAGATAATTGCAGAGACAATTGTGGGTGAAATAATGTGTCTGGATTTGCAACCAATGACTGCTGAAGGGAGGGGCTTGGTGGGGTCTGGGTGAGCAGCAGGAGGTGGCAGGCAGGGCTTTCCCACAGTTTTCTCTCCCTTTGTGTGTGCTCTGCACTCTCCAAAGTAAAGTTTACAAAAGTTAGTGAACAGAGAGGATGACAGTCACAGCACCCACATGTGACCTACCTGGTGAGACCCCACGGAGTGGACACACCAGCCGCGTGCAGTCAGCCCAGCCCCCCGGCACAGAACAGGCCCCGAAAAAACGTCTGTGCACCGATGACTTAATCTTGGGCTTCCAGTAACTGAGACTCCAAGACTGAAGGGTGGCCAGGCTCCTCTGCCCCCGCCCCGCAGGCCGGGCGGCTCTGCTCTCAAGCTGCCACTGGGAAGTGTGTGTGTGGGGGGGGGGGGGGGGTGAGGCTGTCAGTTGTGAGAAAAGGCTGGATCCCTCCCATAAGTGACAAAACAAAGGAACCCGGCACCGCGAGCCCCTGGTGTGCGGTGCTGGCAGGGAGGGTAACGGTCCAGGCCACCCTCTGGCATGAACCTGCCCAACAAGGGCTGCAGACAAGCACGGACCCACGGCTCCGGGACACTTCCGGGGCCAGCAGTTTGGTTCCAGGGGAGGCCGCTTGCGCCGCGGGGGACCCCCAGCGGGTCCCTGTGTGGTCAGGGAGGGGCCCCTGGGATGGGACCTCCAGGAAACGGATGCACCCCGGCCTGGTCAGGCGGGCTGGAGCCCTGCGTTTGCATCCTGGCTCCCAGTCGGGTGAACGGCACCCACAAATCCTTTCTGAACGGGCTTGGGTGGGGGTTCCCACAGTTTTCCTCTCATTCCGTCAGAATAGCGGACCGGCTGGAGGAGGGTCTCTCCGTGCACACCTGCCCACCCAGACGCGTGGTCCCTGGGGCTCGCCCAGCCCCCTCCCTCCCCCCCCCCCCGCCCCGGGGAAGACCTCTCCCAAGAATGACTCAAGAAAAAATGGAGGGATTATTTCGAATCTGTTTTCTTTTGTTTGTTTGATTTTTTTTTTTTCTTTCTATCATAAAGTCGAAGGGTCCCAATTTTTTTTTTTTTTTTATTTTA